AAAGCTTATTCCCAGAATTAAACTTTTATCGGCCTTAAAAGTACCACTGGACTCAAACTTCCCCCTTAGTCATCTTTTCCCCTCCTACCATAAAAAGCTGCAAATATTTTACTTTTTCTGGTAAGAGCGGAACTCCAAGCCGCAGACCAATTTGGTCAGCAAAATTACAATTCCCAGGAGTCCTTGGGGGAGGTCAACTACCAACGGTTAAACCAGCTGGAAGCTGATAGAAACTGCTTGGTTAGACAGCTCATTGCTGCATATCTACTTGGGGGAAAGTCCTACTGAGTCCAATGGAATTTACATCCGAGTAAGTGGGCAGAGCATGGCATCCTGGCCATTTGCAATGAAAATGAATCTCCCTCCCCACTGCATCCCACGACCTACCGATAGAGAATCCTCTCGGCAAGGACATGGCCAGGCGAGAAGGTTTCTGTACTCTGCAGCAGCTGGCCGGATCACTGGGAGTCACAACCGCACTGATGTCTTTGGAAAACACACAAGGAAGCGACAGATCAGACTCGGCAGAGGTGGACCGTCTTCATCCTCACATACCTGGCAATCCATATATTGCATCGCACTACTTGAAACACTACTGACTATAAATATCTACTGTGATCAGACCAGGAAAAGGCCAGAGGGTGCACAAGGTACTGTATAACTGAGCATGGAGCCTCTGGCGACTCCTGCTGCTCCTACATGGCAAACTGACAAAGCTGCTGTAATGTATCCAGTCCAGACCGCGTGGCCGGCTTGGGCTCTGCGTGGTCAGGCACAAATGTCGAGCTTCGCTCCAAGAGACAATGGACTATGCGGATCCTAGCCTGCTCCAATCAGGGGGCTAGGTTCCCGGCCAGGAGCCTATGGGACTCTCGGCCACTGTAAATAACCTATTGGGAAGTGGGGGGGTGTTTTGGGTGGCGGTTTCTCGGGGAATATAAGCCGGCCCGCGAGCCGGCCAAAGTTGTCTTGTTCCTGATCGCATAAAGTATGCTTTGCTGAAATCACTCTCCGTCTGCGTACTTTTCAGCTGCTTTCTACTGTTGGAGCACCCAGCGCAGTACTGGCCGGTCTTCAGTTGAAGGAGGCTCTTCCAAATACCTACAGGTGCAAACACCAGGGACTGAACCTGGGACCTTCTGGGTGCAAAATGGGTGTTCGGTCAGTTCTCGCTTTTCCCCTGTGAGAATATGGAGTCCATCTCGTCTACTACAGTGAGGGGCAGCAGTTTAGGGCCTTCTCTCCCAGTCTCTGTGTCCTGAAATCCTTCATCTAGAGAGGAAAAAGGAGCACAGAGCAATGCCAGTTGTGGCATAGAGGTTACAGTGTCTGTCCGACTGTGACCTTCGGCTAGTCACTGTCTCCCAGATAGATCAAGATTGAGGGGCAGCAGTGTAGGGCCTTCTCTCCCAGTCTCTGTGTCCTGAAATCCTTCATCTAGAGACGAAAAAGGAGCACAGAGCCCTCTGGCTATAGAAGAGCAATGCCAGTTGTGGCATAGAGGTTACAGTGTCTGTCCGACTGTGACCTTCGGCTAGTCACTGTCTCCCAGATAGATCAAGATAGGGAGGTGTGTTAGTCTATCTGTAGCAGGAGAAAAGAGCAAGCGTCCAGGAGCACCTTCAAGACTAACACAAATTGTGGCATGGGATTAGCTCTTGCGTGTCATTGCTCACTTCTTCAGATAGCTTAAAGTGGGTGGCGGTGTAAGTCTGTCGGTAGCAGTAAAAAAGAGCACGAGTCCAGCAGCACTTTAAAGATTAACACAATTTGTGGCAGGAAAGGAGCTTTCATGAGTCACCGATCACTCCTTCAGATAGATCAAGATGGGTGGCTGTGTTAGTCTGTCTGCAGCAGGAGAAAAGAGCAACAGTCCAGGAGCACCTTCAAGACTAACAATATTTTGGGCAGGGTCCTGAGTCACTGCTCACTTCTTCAGATACCAATATTTTTGGAGGGCCCATGATACAGCCTCCTGGCTGAACCTCATTTATTTACAGATTTATATCCCACTTTTCTCTATGACGGAGACCCAAAGCAGCTTACAAGAGTGTTCTCCCCAGCTCCACTGTAACCTCTCAACAACATCCATGCAGGCATTAGGCCAAGGGTCAAAGTAGACCAGGGTTCCCCAACATGGTGCTTGTGGGTGCCATGGTGACCACTGGCAGTTTTCTTGGCGACCGCCAAGTGTTCTTAGAAAGTGGGAGAGGCCAGGCGGGGATTTGGCCCAGCAAGGCTGCTGACTGGCCACTGGAGATTTGATTGACTGTGCCGATTTTAAAGCGATCGCTTTGGTAGCAGCTGTCCCCACAGCACAAGGATCTTCACTGCGTGACTGCAAGTCAGCTGGGGCAGCCATTTTGTGGCCAGCTCCCTCTCCTGCAGCAGCCACTTTGTGGTAGCCATTTTGTGGCTGTGCCCACCACTCTGTGTCAGAATTCCAAAGGTGACCACCGGCTGAAAAAAGTTGGGGAGACCTGAACTAGATACTTCTTTTTAAAGGAGTTGGATTCAGGTCTCTTGAGCCAGATGGCAGCTGCACCAAACTCATTGTTCAAATGCTGCAGGGGCCCGATTTGGCTCTCAACATCCAGACCCCAAAATGGGACAGAGAGCACTCCCTGGTTTCGTTTCTGGTGAGGAGGCTCCCCTCAGCTGAACTGTTTGTAACACCCTCTGGTTAGAGACTGTGCCACACTTTGGAGGGCTGTACCGCACCTGGCATGCTGTGGGAGCAAATGAGTTTCCCGTCAGAGGAGTGGGTCGTGTACCTGGCTTGGGGGGCTTGCTGGGTGGCACAGGGGGCACTTTAGGCGGTGTGCTGCCTGCAATCCAGCTGACTCTGGTTCCACCTGGTGGAGGCTGGCCTTTCCCTGTCAAGAACAAAAGGAAGCGGAAGCGGACTTTTGTTACTGAATTTTTGCAAGAAACCCTTGCATTGGGGGGGGGGGAAGAGTGGATTTGGGGAGGTTTTCTTTTTTTGCCTGGGCCACTGCCAATTCATGACCATTTCTTCTGCCAAGAGAGCAGGCTGACAGCCCAGCGAGAGCCCTCCTGGCTGCTCTGGCCCCATCGACAACAGCTTTGTGCTCAGACCATTGAGCCAGACCCACTTACCTCTGGGCGTCTCCGTTTGCCTGATCTCAGCCTCATCTGGGGGAAAAAATACAAAACGGGCATCAAAGAGACGGAGAGACAAAGGGTCCCTCTGTTCCCACTCCAGACCTTAGAAATCAGGGGCAAAATCTCCATCTCTGGGCAGACACCCAGCTTTCTAACCCCCCAGTTCTAAAACAAACAGACAAAAATGTGTAGGGGAAGGAGTTCTGGGCCGCAGACATTACATGCGCTTTATTAATAGACTGAATATCAATCAGTCCCCGCACTAGAGATGATTGACCTATTTGGAAAGAGCCACTATTGTTCCACATGGGACACAGCAGCCGGAGGAATTTAAGGATGGATTTAATTAGCAAAAATTATATATTAATTTGGGGGATCTTTCTTGACAGCTTGACAGCAAACCGAAAGAGCGGCTGTGGTTCAGAGACTGAGCAAGTGGGCACCACAGGGGAGTCTTTCCCCCAGTTACAAAATATATAGAAAAGCAACAACATAAAACCGATGTCTTATTATGTGTGTGCCTTAACTCAGCATCTAAAATGTAGCATTTGAAAGCCTATATTTTATTTTACTTTATTTATGTGCAGTTTTCCTCCCCAGAAGGGACCCAAAGTGGCTTACAATATCCTACCCTTCTCCATTTTATCCTGACAACCACCCCTGTGAGGTAGGCTAGGCTGAGTGTGTGTGACAGACTGGCCTCAGGTCACCCAGCAAGCTTCTGTGGCAGAGTGGGGATTCGAACCTGGCTCTCCCAGATCCTAGCCCGACACTATGGCCGTGATCACACGGGCAGTTTGGCCCGACACAGCCACCCCGCCCCTCCGGATCAAATGGGCGCAGTCAGACAGCCACATCTGTCAGGCGTTCCCCAGCCATACTTTTCTCGTCATAGGACAACTTGGAGCCGGGTTAAAAAGGCACCACATCACAAGTGATGTTTTCAGTTCCCCACGCAGTCATTGCACATGGCTGGATGTCTGAATGTGGGGAGCATGCGCAGAACAGAGCTGGCAGTCTGAACCTGCAGATCCATTCTGCTGCTAGGGAGGGTTTTTTTAAAAAACTGCCTATATGCGCATGTGTGTGCATGCACATGTGTGCGCATGCGTATTTATGCATGCATGATTTGAGGGATTTTTTTGGCAGTGCACTCCATGGCTGAGGTGCTGCAATAATGTGGATGCTTTACCACGGGATGTCTCCGTGGGTAACCCACAGCAGGGTGTGCTGTGCGGCAGATATGGCCCGCAACACTTCCAACCGATTCAATTAGAGGCGGCACCATATCACGCCAAGCCGCCAGTGTGACCGTGGCCAAAGGCCACTACACCATGCTGGGAGACATAGGTTCAAACTCCTCCTCTGCCAGGAAATTCTCTCTCTCGGCCTCAACTGTTGTCAGGATAAAAAGGAGAGAGAGAACCATGCGTGCCACCCTGAGCAATTTAGAGGAAGGGATTCAAATTAAATCAATAGCAATTATTACAATTTATTATTTATAAAAGGGGGGGAAGTGGAGCGGCCTGATAGCATACAACAGTCCTTGCATTTGTCCTGTACAGTTGAGAAGTCTGTGAACATTTTAGGACATCGCCGCAGCTCTGCCAACAGTGGGCTCGCCAGTCACGGAGGACATCCAATTTTCAATACCGAACATTGATCCCGAGCCTCTGTGCGACTCTCAGCTCACCTTCAGGGTTCATGTAGGTCTGCTCTGGTTCATCCTCCACCATGTATTCGTTCTCAGGCATGCTGGCTCGAGGGGTCTGAGCTGGTGGGACGGGTGGAAGAGGTGGAGGGGTTATTTGTGGCTGGCTTCTTGGAGGCAGCAAGGGCTTCTTGGGTTGCTCTGAGACAACTGCTGGGTAGACAGAAGTGCACAGGTGGAATGAGCTGAGTCTCAGGACCTCTCCGTGATGCCTGGAGCAAATTCTAGAACTTGCACCAGTCATGTGCCAATTTGGGGCCTCGTTAGGGAGAAAGTAAAATTTAAAAGTAAGCAATATTAATAGAATCGCTAACTCCGGGTTGGGAAATTTCTGGAGATTTGGGGTGAAGTCTGGGAAGGGTGGAGTTTAGGGAGGGGAGGGACCTTAAGTGGGATACAACGCCAGAGAGTTCACTCTCCCAAGCAGCCATTTTATCCAGGGAACTGATCTCCATAGTCTGGAGATCAGTTATAATTCCAGGAGACCTCCAGGCCTCACCTGAAGGTTGGTAACCCGATTAAAATGAATAAACATCATGTGTTCCCCTGTCCCCAACATATACATGCTGCAATGGTAACATGCATGCCTTAAATTCATTTATTTCAGAGGCTGGGTCAAGGGGTGTCAGAACTCACAGCCAACAATGTAGTACACGCTTATCAGGAAAGGTAATACTTTATTGAAGAGCTATAGATGCAGTAACATAGGCACTGTTAAGAATGGCGGCTGCCCCTGGGGCATAATAGGTTATAGGGTATTCGTATGCAAACCACCACCCCCACTGCCCTGGCCAATTAGCTACACTGCCGCACGCAGGAGAAGGCGCTCAGGCCATTTGCGCTGAAGCTGGGAACCAAGCTCGCTCCCACGGTTCCCTCAGAACTAGACATCCCCATCCCACCACCTGCAGAACTTAGAGATAAGCATTACAGCAGCAAAGAAGCACAGAAGGAATGCAAAAGCGATTAGAGCACAACTGACCCCCCCCCCAACCTCCATGGCAGCTTAGCTGACAAGGGGAAGAGCTGGATTTTCAGGGTTTGCTAGGAGATAGAACAAAGTTTGAGTCCAGTGGCACCTTTAAGACCAACAAAGCTTAATTCTGGGTATAAGCTTTTGTGTGCATGCACGTTTATACCCAGGATTAAACTTTGTTGGTTTTAAAGGTGCCACTGGACTCAAACCTTGTTCTGTTGCTTCAGACCAGCACAGTGACCATAGTTCCCTCTAAGCTGAGTTGGTGTGAGCTAGCTCACAGATTTTTAGCCTCCGGCTCACAGATTTTTGTCTTAGCTCAGGAAGAATGGCTCCAAAGCAAACTGATTTATGCAGCAGCCAAATCGCTCACTCACAACTTTAATGCCAGTAGCTCACAAAGTAGAATTTTTGCTCACAAGACTCCATATCTTAGAGGGAACATTGACAGTGACCCACCTGAATCCACCTCCTAGCTAGAAGATAGGGTTTTGCCCCATCCATTGGCATTTGCACTAGAAAGCGGAAATGTCTGCAAACATTCCAGGACATCACAGGAACTCAGCCAGACATCAGGGTTTCAAAACCGACCTTCACTTGCTACAGAATTTGGGTTACCTCAGTGCAATGTTGAGAACTTTGATATCTTTATACGCACAGTGTACACAGAGACCCAGCCAGTAGTGGAAACAATCTCTATGCAGGGTAGTTCTGTTAAAACTGACCCAGGGGTTGGAGGAACCTGTTTTTGCTGCCTGCGTCAGACTGCAAAAGCAGAAAGCAACTGGCAAAGCCCCTGGAATCCCAGAGGGCAAGATCCAAGTCATTCAAAGTTGGGTGCATCTCCCAAGTGCCTAGCCCTCAGCGAGAAGGAAAAGATCAGTTTTGGCATAAGCCAAGAAGAGTCACCTCTTCGGGGGATATCAGGCAGTCGGGGGGGCTTTGGGATCATCTGCGTGGTTTCGCCACTTTCGTTATCCGTCAACACAAACTCTGTGGAAACAAGCAAGGGAAAGAAGAAGAGAAGGGGTGAGATTACCAGAAAGTCCTGGCTAGGGATTTTAAGAGCTAGATGGGAAAGTAGTAGAGAAGAGTGTCTGGTCCCCAGCTAATTCACTTTCCACACACACTATTGGCAATTTGTTAGAACTGAGGAAATGTGCGGGAAATTACAAGATATAGGTAAAAGCATAAAATTCCACATCCATACACGTCACCTCTACCCCTGGTGTTAGTATGGCAACACAGACAGCTATATGGTGCCCTATCTAGGCCAGACTGGCAGAGAATGGTAGTCTCACGGGAAACTGACTTGGGGCACTTCTTCATGAAAGTTACAGCTTCTACTCCCATGCACTCCAACAACATACACACACCCCCGCTTAGGAATTCAAAATGACAAGCGAAGGTAACGAGAAACAGAGTTTAAAGAAATCAAAAGTTAGCCTGAGCTTGACAGAGAGCAAGAGTCCAGGGCAGCCCAGTAGCTAAGGACTTTTTAGGGAGGGGGCCTGGGGGGCCCCACCTGCTAATCCAATCAAAGGCTCCAGGGCAAGGGCTGCAGCAGCCACAGCCTCTGGGTCCAGCTCCCCTCCGCCAAGGAGCCCCAGTGCCTCTTCCCGGGGCACAGCACCAGGGACAGCCTCTGAAATTACTGCCCTTGTCCTCCCTGCCAACAGGCTGACAGGCAATCAAGGGGAGCTGGGGTAGGGGAGCCGAGGCTCAGGAAGGGGGCCCATAAAAACTGCTAGGGGGCCGGGCCCCGTGGGCCCCACGTTAGCTACGGGCCTGGTCCAGGGGTACCTTCAAGACCAACATTTGTGGTAGGGCAGGAGATTTCGTGAGTCACTGCTCACTTCTTCAGTCTGTCTGCAGCAGGAGAAAAGAGCAAGAGTCCAGGGGCACCTTCAAGACTAACAACATTTGTGGCAGAGGAGGAGCTTTCGTGAGTCACTACTCACTTCGTAAGATACAAAGTAATGTGATTATGTGTAAATATTTCCCCTTCCCACCCTGAGTTGTGTTGTGGAGGTGGCACATACCAGCGAGTAAAAGGAAGGGTATTTAAAGAGACATGTGTCTCTTCAAATACCTTCTTGGGGCTTGTGAAGAAAGAGCCAGCAAGGGGTACAGAGGAAGAGCTGGCAGGGGTAAAGAGCACAGTGCACCATGGGGGTGGGTGGGTCTGCCATCCTCCCAGGGTGGTGCAGGGCTCATACATGGGGGCATTGCCCCCAAATGCCCCTTTGTGGCTACGTTCATGCCCTGCCATAAATGTTGTTAGTCTTGAAGGTGCTGCTGGACTCTTGCTCTTTTCTCCTGCTGCGGACAGAATAACACAGCCACCCATCTTGACCTATCTGAAGAAGTGAGCTGTGACTCATGAAAACTCCTCCCCTGCCACAAATTGTGTTAATCTTTAAAGTGTTGCTGGACACTTGCTCTTTTCTACTGCTGCAGACAGAAAAACATGACCACCCATCTGGAGCTATCTAGACAGGAAATAGAGATCCATCGTGACCACGGAGGCTTGGAGGCTTACACTAAGGAGCTTTGGGACAGTCTATAGCTCCCTCTGATGGTGACCTCAAGGGGGATCAGAAGATATCACAGCTGCTGAATCCACCTTTACCTACAAACAGAGCCAAGTGGGATCTGTTTCTGGGCAGGGACGTCCCCCTAGCCTCTGGCTTGTGTGCATCTATTAAGCTTGTTATTGAATTTCTCATCCCAGCGGGTTTGATGCAATAATCCCCATTATGTTTTGGAATGTCCCTAGCAGGAGCCTTGCTTTTCATGCCAGCAGCTGTGCCCTTGTGCCAAAATGCCCTCAGATCTATACGTTTTTCAGCCTTTTTTTGCAACAGCATCAAAACAACATCAAAGAAATGCAGAACAGCAGCAAGAAAAGTGGGGATGTCGGGACACAGGAGTAGAATCAAAAATCATGTGCCCCACTCGTCCTGATCTGGCTACTGCATTGAATGTCCCTAGCAGGAGCCTTGCTTTTCACACCAGCAGCCAAAATGTGCCAAAATGCCCTCAGATCTATGCGTTTTTCAGCCTTTTTTTGCAACAGCATCAAACAACATCAAAGAAATGCAGAACAGCAGCAAGAAAAGTGGGGATGTCGGGACACAGGAGTAGAATCAAAAATCATGTGCCCCACTCGTCCTCATCTGGAAAAGGAAGCTCTGATGGTTCTTTAAGACAATGATTCCCAGCCTTTTGGGTGTGGTGACCTGCGAGTCCAAATTTATTGGGTGTGGTGGTGACCCGTCAGGCCCGTAGCTAACGCGGGGCCCACGGGGCCCGGTCCCCTCCTTTTTCTTCTGGGCCTCCTCCCTCCCGGGCTGTCCCCGAAGTGCCTCAACTCACCACCTGCGTGCCACTTTGCACTCTGACTGAGAAACACCCCGACTTAAATCTTCTTTGGACTGCAAAAACCCCGGGTGGAAGACAGTCACACCTTTTTTTAACCGGGGGGGGGGGTAATTTATGCAGGATGTCAAAAGCGGGAGGGGGGAGAGAAGCGGCCTTCTGCTGAGCCGGGGGTGCCATGGCGTGAAATTGACCAGCACGCTGAAACTGACTCAAAACCGCCCCCCCATGGCCCCCTCCCAAAAAAGTCCCTAGCTACCGGGCTGGAAACCACCCCTGGTATGAATCCTTTTCTTGGCTCAGACCTTTCCCAGGCTGCTTCTCCAGAGGTCTGCTCAAAGTAGCTGCCAAACCAATGTTACCAAGTCAACAGAAAATGATTTCTAGAGGATACAAACAGTTAAATGTTTCTGTTTGGGCTGGAAGATTAAGCCTGGAGAAAGAATGCCTCACTGAGCTCTGGTGAGTTGAGGTCAGCTAAATTCCCCAGACTAGAAAAGCAGGTAACCTTGCAAAGGCCTCCCACCAAAGGCATTAACTATGGGGGGGCTTGGGGGCTCAGGCCTTCCCTGGATTGGGGAGGACTGAGCCTCTCCCACGCAACCAGTGACAGGCAATAGTGACAAACTTTATGTTTAGTAAAATGTTTTCCAATCCATTCTAGATTATGTTTATTAAAATGTATTCCAATCCATACAGGCAATCTGTATAGATCTTCAGAGATATGAATGGGGTAATGGATCCTGTGAATAAATGCATTTTTCTCCTGGAACGTTGGCAAGCAGGAAAATTTCCCCCATGTGGGTTTTTTCCTCTGTAAAGAAGGAAGTCTGTGTGTGATGACCTTCCAGGCTCACCTTCTTACAAATGCTAATTGAGCTAGCAGGATAGACAACGGGATGGCTAAACATCCCCCTTCTCCCTCCTCTCTTCTCCAAGCAGGGAGGTATCAAATGCTGCCAGGGAGTCTTTAGGAAGACAGATCTCTGGAGAAAGGAAACGCTGCCTTGACCTGTGCGGGGAAAGAGATCGGATAACATTCCTTGCAACAGGAAGAGAAGGTCTCTTGCAGCTGCATCCATCAGGGGAGACTAGGGCTGCCAACCCCCCCGGTAGGGCGGAATTCCCCCCGCCCCGGAGGCCCGTTACCCGACGCCGGGGAATCGGGGCCCGGGGGGAACTCCGCCCTGGCGTGCGCGTCACCCGGGGTAGAATCTCATGGTCAGAAATACTTGAGAAGAGTTCAAGAGCGGTGGGAGTTTCTTAAAAGTGAAATCTTGAAGGCACAATCACAAATGATTCCTATGAGAAGGGAAATGGCGTGGCCCCGCCCAGCGTGTGACGTCACTTCCGGGTGATGCTCCGGCGGCACAGCGCGCGCACACTTTTCAAGACGACTCCCGGACCGGCTGGACGCTCCCCCGCCGGTAGGGATTTTACATTTGGCAACCCTAGGGGAGACTGACCTGAGGTCTAGGGAAGGTGGCCATTTTTTCTATCCCACCGGTCTAGAGGGCTGGAGGAGACTTAATATTGTAAACGGTAATTGTGATCTGCAAAACTTTTCGGTTGTATCTTTGCCCTCTCTAGATTAATAACTAAGGTTTTTGATATCCAGCACATATCAATCCTTGAATATGTTTGGCGTCTTTTGGAAAAGAAAGTATAGTCCTTAACCCTGGCTGGCTCCACCCACTTTCAATGTAGCAACAATCAGACTACAAAGCCTCTGTTGGGCCCAACATACTTGCTTGGCTCCAATTTACATTTGGGGGGAAAGTGAGATTGGGGGGACATGCAGATCAGAGGCCTTTTAAAATTTCCTTTTGACCTGTGTGCAGCCCAGAGAGAACAAGGAATGTGCACTCTGTATGTGTTCATGCTCTTCATTTTGCTGTTACCTAAAATGGTGTGGTACAGTTTCAAAGGGGCAGCCAACTAGCTAATGCTTAGAAAAAACTACACCAAATGTGTTCCTATAGGATTTGGGGATTCTTTTGGTAGATAGATCTTTTGCATCTTCTTCAAGCCTGTGGTTTTTCTATGTTTGCTGAAGTGGATGCTGGACCAGATCCTTTTAAAAGTTAATTAATGACCTCAGCAAGCCTGTTAAGCATTCTTTTTAAAATGTCTACACTCTAAAGAGTTGATCAAGTAGGTGTGTATTCACAATTGTTCACCACTTAGGCAGCTACAGCTAACATGAACTGGTTTCAAGCCTGTAATAGTGTTAGGAAATCATTGATAATATCTACAGCAGTTTACACAATTGCTTTTCCTCAGATGTGTCCCAACACATGAGCAAAACTGAAAAGTTTGCCACAGGAGAGGATATACATTCTAAACCTTTACAAAACTGACTTTGGATGCTGCCTGACTACAGCTTCATTGGGATATGTTTTTGGATATTGCAAGACATGGAACTTTTAAGCCTTCGTAATGTGATTGATCTGTTCAGTAAAGAACAAGGGAAAAGTCTGCATCAGCTACTACCAGAATTAGTTAAACTTCCCAGAATAGGCTTTACCGTACCTGTTTCCTCCTGAACCTCAGAAAGGTCAATCTCATGCCTTTGTAGAATAAAGACCTTTCTACAGTCAAGAGAGCCAGTAGAGTGCACGGACTCTAATCTGGGAGAACTGGGTTTGATTCCCCACTCCTCCACTTGCACCTGGCTGGATGACCTTGGGCAAGCCATAGTTCTGATAAGAGCTGTTCTTGAAAAAGAACAGTTTCTGTCAGAGCTCTCTCAGCCCCACCTACCTCACAGGGTGTCTGTTGTGGGGAGGGGAAGGGAAAGGAGTTTGTAAGCCGCTCTGAGACTCTTTTGGGTAGTGAAAGGCGGGGTATATCCAATCTCTTCTCTTCTTCACAGACATAAACAAATCTCTCAGGAAATCGATCTTAATGTTATAGCTAATGAGTTCATTCAAAGAACATCAATTAGAACAAACACATTCAATGATTTAAGTACAGGGTTTCTGAATTGTTGCATCTTAACAAGTGGGTTGTACTTAGACGAGGCAATCTGTATAGGTTTGCCACTTATCATACCAACACATGGCAAGTACTGGGGTGGGAAGGTGACGGGAAATTGGAAAGGACAGGTAGGATATAGCAAGCGAGGATGCTTGTGGGAACAGGAGAAAGAATAATAGGGAATTGGGAGAATATTTGATTTTATTGTAATTTTTTTAAAATGTAAATAAAAAAACAGTTTGCATTGTTAATTAAAAGTTAAAGCTGTATTTCAGCTGTCTGAAGATCATTTGCTGAAGCAAATTTCCATACAAAGTTACCCTCCTATTAATGAATGTCCAGGAAAACGTCTAAAACGTTTCCCCACAGGCTTTTCCGTGTTGCCTTTCTTACTGTTAAATTTGTGACCAGTATTTTGTCCTATGCACATGGTATGTATATTTGCAGATCTTAAAGTGAGAATTTCAAAAGTGAATTTTTAAAAAAAGGAAACATGGCCCCGCCTCCATAGATAGTGACAATGGAGGCCCCTCCTTGTGATGTCACTGGCTCCTCCCTATGATGTCACTGGGGGGCCCCACGATCCTTTTAAGGACCTAACAAAGCAACGCCTCTGGCCCAGCCCCAGGCACCCCCCTCCCCGAAACTGGAAAGTCTACGTCCCTGCCTCCTACTGGTTGTGGGTATGTCCCTTCATTCCACAAACGTACCCAGGGTTTCCGCATAGCTGTCGTCAAGCTGCAGGGGGATCAGGGTGTGTTTGCTGGTTTTAACAAAGAATTCCACCACGCCTGCCAGAGAGGAGCAGCAGTACTGCGGGAACAAGGAAACAAAGGACAATGAACAAAACAGCCCTTCCCTTGGATGCCCTGCTAACAAAGGGCTTCAAACCGTTTCACGGCTGACTGCTCAGAGAGGATTACCATGCAATTCTAGGCATGCTTACTCAGAAGTAAGCCCACTATGTTCAGTGGGGCCTGAGTCTTGGGTGCACGGGGCTGCGGGCTCCTGGACTTCAGTTCTGCCCTCATTTCCCAGCACAGCCTTGCCCTGTAACCGTATAGGCCTCGAGAAAAAGAAATGGGCTTTTCCTTCAAGAGAGGCTTCCCCTGTGGAAATGGACAGAGGGAGCCTTCCACGGCACGGAGGAACTTTATTATTTATTTATTTATTTAATTCAATTTATACCTGCTTCCTGAAATGAGTCTGCCCGTCCCCTCCACCCCAGGTGTCGCGGTGCCCCATATGCCCGGAACCCCCTCCCTAAGCCCGCCTACTGCCTTATACCAAATCAGACCCTTGGTCCATCAGTATTGTCTGCTCAGACTGCCAGGGTCTCTCCAGGATCTCAGGTGGAGGTCTTTCACCTGCCCCTGAACCTTTTACACTGGAGATGGCGGGGACTGGACTTCCTGCATCTACTGAGCAAGTGTCCTGCCACTGAGCCACAGCCCCTCCCTTTGCTGACATGCCAATGGATCTGCCTTATTCCCTGGCTGCTCCATCCAGCCCATGGCCTGAGGCACGGAAAGACCTTTCCCAGCACCTGCTGCGACCCAAGACCGTTTGCCTGCTGGAGATGCCAGGGACTGAACGAGGGGCTTTCCACAGGTAGCTAGTAAGCTTAGCTGCACTCCTGCTAAATCCAGGCCCTAGACTTTCTATTTACCCACGTGGGGCAGCCCCAATTTCCTGCACTTGAGGAACTGAGGAGTAGAAAATGGACTCCACACAGTGACAGTCTTGGAATTTCTCCTGGTCTCAATGGTAAATGCCACAGACTAGGGGAGGCAGCATAGAATGTCACCCAGGAGTGACATCACATCCTCCCCCCAACTCCACCCCAACCAGGCACCACCCTCATCCCCAGATCTTCCAGCCTTTGCTGAGGCAATGTTGGGAGCCCGACCAGGAACTGCCATCTTACCGGATCCTCAACATCAATGATGTATTGTTTCCCAACTTGGTTGATTTTATAGTGCTTTAGAACAGCGGTTCTGCAACAGAGAAGAAAGGGCCCTCGATTAAAAAAAATGGCCTTCCCAGGTCATGAGAATGTAACAAGAATCCCACTGGATCAGACCAAGGAGGGTTCATCTAATCCAGCACCCTGTTCTTGCAGTGGCCAACCATAGGCCCATAAGCAGAGCCCAGTGGCCAAAACAATCCTCGGCTGTTCCTTTCCAGAGGTATACTGCCTCTGAACAGGGAGGTTCCATTCAGCCGTCATGGCTGACCACCCTTGAAGGTGTGCTCCTCCTTGAGCTGGCCTAAGCCATATGAAAGTTATCAAAAGCAAGGACCATTGCTACCACCTGTGGCACCATGTTCTGCAGGTTTACTGAGCACTGCCAGAAGTACTTTCTTTACTTGCCCATCAACTTCATGGGGTGTACCCCTAGTTCTGTGAGGAGAGGTCCCCCGCTGGCAACCTCTGGGAGACAGGAGGACAATGGCGTACTAATTCAAATGGCACAGCAATGCCACCTCGTAACTGGAAGTTCCAGGTGCGATGTCCCCTGCCTCAGACCTCCAGACTGAGTGGCAAGAGAAGCTAGACAGCTAGATAGGCACACTGATCTTTCTTCCTGTATCTACTCTTCTGCCACTATCCTCTTTGATGTGCAGACTGTGCCCTCAGGGACAAATTTCCCTTTCCTGCTTCTCTGTCACTCTGAATGAAGACTTGCTCTCCACCCGCACGCACCAAGAGAGGGTCATGCTGTCCTCTCTTGGCACCATGAGGCAGATTGGCCTCTCGCCGTCCGCCTCCATCCTTTAGCTCGTAAGTTAGCCATCTATCAGTCTCTCCTCTTTCCTATCCAAAGTGTACTTCTCAAATAAAGAGAGAAGTGTTTCTCTTCTAAACTTGCAATGTGGCTCTGTGTAGCTCTGTAATCTAAGTAATCTGGTAGAAGTGACTGTCATGATCTGGGCTGTGCCACCAGGGGCCTACAAACCCCAGAAAGCCTTGGGAAGTTTTGGCGCCGATTTTGACCAATAGGGAAGAAGAGGGCTGGGGAATATAGGAACTGGTACAAGAGGGAAAGCTGTTCTTCTTCCCAGGGAACAGGGCCAGAAGGGACTGAGGCTGCTGTGGGGAAGAAACCCTCATCCTGAGGAAAGGGTGAGTAGTCTAAGGCCACTTAAGATAGTGAGCTAGGGACAGTATATATTTAGACGCATTAGGTCATTGGATTTCTTTTCTTTTCACCCACTTACTGTTATTATTCTGCACCTTGTTTGTTTGACCTCCTATAAAATAAACTATTTTCATTGTTCACTCTGCCTGGTCCTCACGCCTATTATTCGGCCAAAAAGGAGGTCTAAAGGCCTGGGAGGGTGCTCTGGGCCTTCTCAGGGGAGCCTAGAACCAGAGTGGTGGCAGCGTCAGGTGACACCCCACCTGAGCCGTGACAGTGACGCTCTTGCGTTTGTAGCTGTATTTAAGCACTCTGCTAACTAATGGTGACTGGACTAACCAAACCAGTTAACCTCAATACCCGACGTGACTCACCACATCTTAGAATGATAGAATCATAGAGTCAGAAGGGACCTCCAGGGTCATCTAGTCCAACCCAGGCAGAAAATTCACAAATACCTCCCCCTCCACACACACCTGCAGTGACTGCTGTTCCACGCCCAGAAGATGACAAAAAACCTCCAGGATCTCCAGCCAAACTGGCCTGGAGAAAAATTGCTTCCTGACCACAAAGTGGCAATCAGCATTTCCTTGGGCGTGTAAGAAAGGGCCACAAGAACCGAGCACTGAGGCAACCCTTCCTGCCCTCCCTCTCATGATCTGCCTAAGTTCACAGAATCCGCATTGCTGTCAGAGGGCCATCTAGCCTCTTTCTGAAAACCTCCAAAGAAGAAGAGCCCACCACCTCCCGAAGAAGCCTGCTCCACTGCGGAACTGCTCTAACAGTCGGGAAGTTCTTCCTAATGTTTAGCTGGAAACTCACTCGACTCACTTGGCTGTTCTAGTCCCCCAGCTCAAGCCTCGGCACCCCAAACAGCTGCGGGCCAGACTCACCCACTCACCACCTGGCGCGTGGTCACTGAGATGCTCTTGCCATCCCTTCCTGGGCGCAGCAGCATGTTCCCACAACTCTTGTTCTTCTCCAGCAGCGCCTCGGCTTCTGTCCTGGAGACTCTGAAAAAACAGCTGGGGGGGTGGGGACAGAGAAAGCTGGCAAATACCATCCCGGCCCAGGTTCCCTCCGTCCGCCTTCACCCAGCCTCAGGCTTCCCCATCTGTGAAATGGGCTTAATAGCGCCCAACACTTTTTGATTGATGAGAACTAAATCGCCCCTTCCAGATGATTGCCTTCTACAGGTTGCCAGCTCTGGGTTGAGAAGTTGCTGGAGATTTGGGGGTGCAGCTTGGGAGGGGCAGGGCTTGGGGAGGGGAGGGGAGGGACCTCGATGGGGTAGGATGCCGTAGAGTCCACTCCTCCAAAGCAGCCCCAGGGGGAACGGATCTCCATCATCTGGAGATCAGTTGGAATTCCAAGAGATCTCCAGGCCCCAGCTGGAGGCTGGCAACCCTACCTTTGACTCTCTTGCATTTCAAAAACAGGCCCCTTTCTTATTTGGGGCGTAACAGAACTCAGACTCAGAGCCCTTCCCTTCTTTCTCCACTGATATCTCCATGTTGTAAAGCTACCAAATCAATGAATAAAGAGACCGGATTGTCTTCCGAGGAGAAGAGCTGGTTTTTATTCTCCACTTTCCCCTAACTCAAAGAGTCTCAAAGCGATTTCCAATCGCCTTTCACTTCCTCTCCCCACAGCAAGCACCTGGGGAGGCAGGTGGGGCTGAGAGAGTTCTGGGAGAACTGGGACTGGCCCAAGGTCTCCCAGTGGGCTTCATGTGGGTGGAGGAGTGGGGGAACAAACCCGGTTCTCCAGATTAGAGTCTGCCACTCTTAACCGCTACACCATGCTGGCCCTAGGCTGACAAGTCCCAGTTTTACCTAAAGTTTCAGGATTTCAGCCTTCTTCTAAAGATCTGCAGGAGAAGAACTCAGGGCAAGGGATCGCAATTTGAGTGGGCAGCCCATTGGCTAAAGAGCCTTTTCTCTAAGCTCCACCCCACATCCATCAAGCCCCACCCTCCAAACCCCTTGTGTTCAATTTTCTACCTTCACCAGATGACATTTGACTCCTCCCTCACCAATTAAGCTCCGCCCCCTGCTTGACAGGCCCCACCTCTTGGCCCCCTGGCTCCGCCTCCCCAACTCTCAAATTCAGCACTTCAGGGAATCTGGCAATCAGCTAGAGCCAGGAAACAGGCAGAGGTGGGAAATGCAGCAATGTTGGGCCTGTAAGGAGATAACATTCCTGTGTCCATGCTGCTCAGCTTGGATTTAGTTCTGCCGCTACAGACTTCAGACCACTGTGTGGGTGCGCCTGTATTAAGTACCATCAATTCGCTTCTGGCACCCCTGTGAATGAATGATCTCCAAAACATCCTCTCATGAGCAGCCTCGCTCCAGTCTTGCAAATCCCTTGGCAGAATCAATCCGTCTCTTCCTAGCATTCTTGCCTTTTCCAGAGTAAAGTTGGAGTCCACTGGCACCTTTTATTCTGCACACAAAAGCTTCTACCCAGAACAAAACTTTCTTGGCCTTGAATGGGCCTGACTGGACTCCAACTTTATTCTGCTGCTTCAGACCAACACAGCTACTTGTCTTCTCCAGTGACTTTCGCCTTCTCATAATGTGACCGAAGTATGATAGCCTTACGTCTACCCACCTGAAACTACCTATTAATACAGTTATTCTCTTAATTGCTTCTTGAAGGAATGGGAGAGGATAGAAACCAAACAAAACTATATGGAGCTTTTACATGCTGCCTTATTTGAATGGACTGAGAAGCCTCTGCCCCCAAGGAGCATACAACTCTACCCACTCTGGATGTTTTGCCTCTGCTGCCTCTCCTCCAGGCGGAAGGGAGCACTCCGTGATCCTGGGGCTGGGGAAACCTTCTTGTGAGTCAGCCAGATCCATCTTGAACCGCTGCTCCCTCTCCTTCTCAAGAGCTTCGGAGAGCATGTAGATGTGGCCGGGGAGCAAGGCCAGGCTAGAGGGGACCTTCATCTGCAGAGGAGCAGAGCACAGGGTTAGAGGCCAGCTGGCCCATGAGGCTGAGTTTCTTGGAATCGGTTTTCGGTGGCCACACAGGTTTTCAGGAAGGCAAAATGAGACCGGGGGAGGGACCATGGCTCATGAGTGGAAAAGCCTCTGTTTGACGATCGCCTAGAGTGGGCTGGCCCTTAGGGGCGCCAAACTGCACCCGGCCCCATACTATGGGAGTTTCTTGATTATTTGTGTTTTTCATTCTTCCTAAAATACATTTATTTTTGCAAAATGGTCCGCACACTTAACCACTACACCAAACTGGTTCTCACACCAAACTGGTCCCAGGTTCAATCCCTGGCATCTTTAGTTGAAAGGCTCAGGTAATAAGTGACATAAAAGACCCTTTTCTGCCTGAGACCCTGGAGAGCAGCTGCCAGTCTGAACAGACAGTAGTGATGCTGATGGACCGATGGTCTGATTCAGGGAGATGGCAGCTTCAAACATGTGAGGTCATGTATGTGAGACACGCAAATCTGGCAGAACACACCAGCATCGCTGGCGTCTGCAGCTAACTACCCTCCCTTTCCCATCTGCCACATTTCAGCTCGCCCTTCTCCTCTGGTGTGCTTCCAACAGTTTCTAAATCTCTGCCGGCCTCAAAAAAAGTCACTGTGAAATATCTACAGTGTCATCCTGAGCAAGTTTGCTTACAATCCTACTCAGGTCTATTCAGTGGGTCCTACTCCCAGGAAAGCTGTAATGATTTAATGTTTTGGTGTGTGTGTTTCTTTAAATGTTTAGTTTGACTGCAGTACTGTAAGAAGAGTGATAGAGGGAGACAAGTGTGATGTGACTGAGAGTGGGAGGAAGGGTGTCTATGAGAGGATTCTATGTGTGAAGTTTGAAGAGTCTATGACTATGGGAGCTTTTGAGTCTATTCTGTGTGAATAAGACAAACAGTTTAGTCTGTGTGAATATGAGAGTTTGAGTCTATTCTGTGTGAATAAGACAAACAGTTCAGCTGGTGTGGCTAAATAGATGAGAGAGAGAGTCAGAGTGGAGTTTTGGGAGTTTGAGAGACTGTGACACCAAGCTTTGCCAGCTATATTTACAAGTTCCTTTCATCAGCAACAGTTCAAAATAACCAGAAACCTATTTTGTTCTTTATTAAATAAATCAATATTTGTTTAAACTTATCCCAGAAATCAGAATAGTCCTTCCTCAGGGCCACATAGTCCTCTGAAGTGCCCAGACCCTGTGTCATTCTACCAAAAGAGAGAGATTTGGATTTTTTAATTCCTGGTGGCAGCAGAAATCTACCAAGTTTATGTACACAGAGGGTGGTTTAAAGGTAAAACCGTCTCCCCAATAAGCAAGGAGGTCACAAAAGTGTTCATAGAATTTAACTGCTAGTCATTTAAGTATCCAGGATTAAATAGACATGAAAAAATGTATGCAACCCAACTGGAAAAATTGATCCTTTAAACCCCAGGATGGCTGCAGGAGACAGGATTTCCAGGTAGTCAACAAAAACCTGTGCCTATGCTGCAACTCTCTCTCTCTCAATCACGTTTCTATCCTGCCCTCCTTACAAGGAGTGTATGCGGTTCTACCTTCTTTAACTTTATCCTCACAACAACCCTATGAGGTAGGTAAGGCTGAGAGAGGACAGCTCAGTGAACGCATCATGGCTGAGCACACATTCGAACCTCTATCTAGTTCAGCATTCTAACCACTACACCACCTTGGCTCCAAGAAAAACTTGGCAGAAACTAAGCCCAGGCCCGGGGGGGAGGGGGAGAAGAACACTCTTCATGTGCTCAAAAGCAGTTTTCCTGATTGGTTCCTTGGCCAGTTTTTATAAGCAACTGTCTTGTGCAAAATCAGGGACTCTTCCTAGTACGTTTTTCCTTGCTTCTTCTCCAAGGCGTTCAGGGCAGCATACGTGGTCACACACACACCCCCTTTAGTCTTATAGCAGCCCTTGCAAAGTAAGCTAGGCTGCAAGGGAGGGACTGGCCCAAAGTCACCTGATGAGCTCCATGGCAAAGGGATTCAAACCCAGGTCTCTCAGATCTTAACCAAATATTCTAACCAGTACCCCACATTGGCTGTCCTGAGCTCATTATTATCATCTACTCTGAGGCTCTTCAGGGTCGCAGACAGAGGAAGGCTTTTCCCTGCCCCTTCCAATTCGGAGCTTTTTGAACTGAAAATGCCAAAGTGTGATGGCCACAGATGGCTTTAAAAGGGGATTAGACATGGAAGAGAGAGGTCTATCAGTGGCTACTAGCCATGGTGACTGAGGAGAACCTCCACATTCAGAGGCAGTCAGCCTCTGAACACCAGTGTCAGGAGGCAACATCAGGGGAAGGCCTCGACCTCTCTGCCCTGTTGCTGGCCCTCCAGAGGAACTGGTTGGCCACTGTGTGAGACAGGTGGGCTAGATGGACCACTGATCTTATCCAGCAGGGAACTTCTTATGTTCTTACCTTGAATTGTTCTGGATTGTCTTCAAATAGTGTAGCAATATACTTATAGTCAGCATAGGCCCAGTATTTACATGGCTCATAACCACTGAACGGTCCAGAAGAGCAAGAAGGCTCTCTTAAACTCCAGGCCAGAAACTCTTCAAGCGTACCTTCCACATAACTGCACTGTGAAAGGAGGCTTGCCTTCTGACATAGGAGTTTGCTCACCTCCACCATTGTGAGAATGAACCCTTTCCACATCTCCCGAGACTCCAAGCTCTCCATCTGAAACAGAAATGCATTTCCTAAGAACACTGTCACATTGGGGACGCCATCTTCCAGCTGGGACCTGGGGATCCCCCAGAATTACAGCTCATCTCCAGACTACAGAGATCAGTTCCCCCAGAGAAAATGGATCCTTTGGACTCTATGGCATTGTACCCCACTGAGGTCCCTGTCCTCCCTACGCTCCAGCCCCCAATCTACAGGAGTTCCACAAACTGGATCTGGCAACCCTAGTACCCCCCTCATTCCCCCACCGGTGGACAGAGGTGACCTGGCAACTCTACAAATGTCACATCAACTTTCCTTAGGTTAATGCAGAACATTCTGAACACAGAAGGGAAACTGTAGGCCTCAGTTCCCAGAAACCACGTTGTCAATGTTCAGGAACTGATGTGCTCAGAATACAAATTTTGCCAGGCCAAAACGTCTGGATGTATCTTTTATTAGCATTATTTACTGCCAGAGAGTCAGCAAGGAAGAAAGTGTGGAGTCATTTACGGAAGGAGGATGGCCCTAAGCAGAGGAGCATAGGTCACAAGCAGGGCTGTGTGAGAGAAGCAATACTGGGGAGGCGGTGGACACCATGGATGGGGGGATGTGAAGGGAAGGATGAGGCGATTGTCCTAGCAAGATTTCAGGAGAGACATTCTCTCAAATTATTATTTTGGTGGCAGAGCACTGGGCAGGGACCAAGGGATTCTGGGGAGAATTTCAGGTCCCCAAAATGTTCTTTGGCTTTTCATTTGCATTCCAGAATATTGCAAGCCCCTGCTCCTCCTTTCTTTTATTTTCATGCCTCTGTTTGCAGCAGTCTGCTTGGAGCTCCTGTTTGTATGGAGAGCCGCCCGTCAATGAACTTCCCCACTGTTGACTCCTGAATGCACCATGAAGCCTCCCCATCTGCCCAGGGGGTTACCTTTAATTTCACTTCTTGGCTCCTCATCCTGATGGTCAACCTGGCCCCTTCTGTGGACCACGCAGCCACCGTTCTTGGGGTATTGTCGTCCACCAGAGACACGAAGTCAGCCAGATCAAGTAGATCGACATACTGGGGAGGAATTGCAGGTAGACTCAGGCCCCAAGTTTCTAGACCTCATGTTTCCCATTCAGCTTCAAGTTTCCCCTCTCTGTGCCACGTTTATAGGTGTTCACATTATATTAAAGTTCTCCACCTCTCAGCCTATAATTGATCCCCTAGGACTCTATTGCTAGTGGTTGAAAAACAGCACCACATTTTATGTACTTATTTTACCTTTTTCCCCAACGAGGACCCAAAGCGGCTTACATCATTCTCCTCTTCTCCATTTTACCCTCACAACAACCCTATGAGGTAGGTCAGGCTGAGAGTACATGACTGCCCCAAGGTAACCCAGCAAACGTCTACAGCAAAGTGGGAATTTGAACCCAGGCCGTCCAGACCCTAGTCTAACCACCACAGTACACCACAGCATGGAGTTCCCAGTTGGAATCTCACGTGCAATTTAGCTGAGCCACCTGTTTCCCGACTACCCGCCCTGAATTCTATCCCCAAGCCACAGATTGGCCACCTGCTAGGCAACACTGTCTCTCTTCCCCAGGGCATTTACCTGGATATCTCTGTTGGTGTTGTAGAAATACAGAGTGAGGCCTCGAAGGCCGGTCCAAAATTTCCTGTATTCCTGTGAGGAGGGGGAAGCAGCAATTATTAGTATCGTATTTGAGGTGTTGGATGGATCAAGTCTCTGCTTCCAAGAAGTTACAATCAAGTCCAGTACAAGTGAAAATGGAACATGCTCTTTATTTTATTTTATTTTTACCCCCCAAAATGCTTTAATTTACCAAACCGTTGAAGATTCAGGCTGCAGTTACAGATACTCTGGCTTGGCAGAAATCCCCACTGAATTGTGGGCTGTTGACTGTTGAGCAAATGGGTTCCGCCTCATCCTGTAAAGATGGGCTCTTACGCTTGCTTACGTGGGAGTAAGCCCTGAAGAGTGAGGCCTCCTTCTGAGTGAACATGCACAGACTCAGGTCACAGGAAAGACCTGCCTTTAGCTGCTTGGTGCTATAACCACTTATGCAAAACTCCAAAAATGGGCTGCCTACCAAAGACTCCCAACTCATATGAAAGCACACATTAAATATTAACAACTGAAACTGTATTATGACCAATACAACACGATAGTCAATTGTAACATCAGTATCACACACGAATAACAAGATTCCAGTTGCCAACAGACCAAATAGTACATTCAGACATAACAATCAGGATAAGGAGAAATAGCACCAACAATGTAGAGAGATACACTCATAGTTGCCAGTAACAGCGATACAAGGTAACAGGCCGGATTCACCTCCTGGCCAGAGTAACCCCAGGGTTACTCTGGCCTAGCCCGGAGTAACCCCTGCCTTTTTTCTTCCCTCTTTCTGTTTCTCTGCCCTCCCTCCCTCTATGCTCTCCCCGTCTTTCTTTCTTTCTAATCTAAAGTTGTGGGCAACCTTTTTTAAAAAGGGGGGGGAAGGGAGAGTTGGAAGGGGTCGACCTCAGTGAACGTACCTCAATCAGATTGAGGACGTTTTTAGCAAAGGCCAGCTTAAGAGTACCCTAATTAAGTTAATAACAATGTACCTACCTATATAGTTTAAGTTTAAAAAATTTGGCTCTCAAAAGAAATTTCAGTCGTCGTACTGTTGATATTTGGCTCTGTTGACTAATGAGATTGGATTCATACCCCATTCTTCACTACCCAGAGGAATCTCAGATTGGCTGACAAGTTTCTCAGAAGTTGACACTGTGCTGGTTACACTGACATTTAACTTACCACTCTATATTGGGGACTGTGAGATCCAGGTTCAGATAGTTTGGCATAGGCAACTGGGTTACTTTGGCTTAGGTCAAACTAAGCCCGGGGTTACAGGTTGTTGTGTTGTGCAGTTAAAAAGAAGAAGTTAAAAAGAAGAAGAGATTGGATTCAGCTGACATTTAACTTACCACTCTGGCCAGGCGGGGGTTAGTATGGGTTACTCTGGCGTGGCCCGGCGGGGTTACTCCGGGCTAGGCCAGAATAACCCCTCCGGGGTTACTCCAGGCTAGGCCAGAGTAACCCCGGGGTTACTCTGGCCGGGGGGTGAATCTGGCCTGTTACACCGGTATAATAACTCCCTTGTTTCTTAAGCGTTCTTCCTCAGCCACTATTACAGAAAAAGTAATTCTGTATTGAATGAAATAATGGAAAAGCTTTTTCAGCCTCCCTCAGGAGTAACTTTGATGAGAACCTCCTGGTCTCCCGTCCTGGATGATACACTTATAATTTCATCAATAAGGAACATATACTCCACAGTCACTGTGGCATAGCCTGCTAACAATTCAACAGTGGAACATTCTCAAGTGGCAGAAATCCCCAATGAATTCTGGGCTATTGACTGTTGAGTAAATGGGTTCTGGCTTCGTCCTGCAAAGATGGGATCTTACGCTTGCTTATGTGGGAGTAAGCCCCGAAGAGTGAGGCTTCCCTCTGAGTGAACATGCACAGACTCAGGTCACAGGAAAGACCTGCCTTTAGCTGCTTGGTGTCTGTGCTGGCTCCACCAGATAACAATATTTTTCTCTCAGCTCCTGACATTTGCAGACGTAAGAGAAAGCCAAGCTGGTTTGTGCCTCGTCAGTTGGGCGCTCTGTCCAAAACAAGAGAGAGTTCCCTCTTTCTGTTATGAACTCACCTTAATCAGGCACAAGACTGCTGGGGCTAAACCTGAGCTTGGAGACAGCATGGGTCAACCCCGAAATATGAAGCAACAGTGTCTCTGAACATGTGAAAAAAGCCTTTGGGTTCACGATCCCCAATTAAACTGCCGTCTCCAACTATGGACCTATTTATATCCCGTCTCTCAACCAGGATGGTTCTCTGGATGATTTACATAAAAGAATCAAAACTCAAAGCAACTGAGAACAATAAACAAACTCTGAGGTTAAGCAAAACCAGCACAACAACCCCATTAGCCTACAACACCCCAGAAGCAAGAATGGCCATGGCCACTAATCATCAACACGGGTGAAAATACACCAAGCAAAGGGATTTAAAAAACAGCAATCCAAGGCTGGCAGCAAAAGGGCACAGAGACAACAAACCCACCAAGGATAGACAAGAGAGGGAAGGGGCAGACCTCCTAAGAAAGGTCTCATCAATGCATTTCTATCCCATCCTTCCTCCAAAGAGCATACCCAGGGTTCTGCTCTTCATTTTATCCTGACAATAATGCCGCTGGGCAGAGCAGGCAGAAGAGAAAGAGACTAACCCAAGAGTATCCAGTGAACTTCATGGCAGAGTGGGGATTTGAACCCGTGTCTCCAAGCTTCTAACCATCCCGCCAGAGAGGCTCTCAGCTGCAGGCTTACGGGGGGGGGCGCCTCTTCTGGGGTACCAAAAAGGCCAATCTGTGATCAGATGAGTTTGCCAGACCCCAACAGTGAACTGGGTGTGTGTGTGTGTGGGGGGGAGTGTCTCTGATTTACCTCAGCATAAAGCACAGTCTGATCAGCAGGAGCACCAGTTCTAGACACGTTGACTCAGGAGGAAATCCTTTGGAAGTGAGGTTCAGAAATGTTATCCCTGTTTTCTTTTAGCATGCTTATTTAAAAATCTTGGCAATCTCCTCACATAACATTCATGGTAATTATGAAATCCCTACCATACCGAACAAGCTTGTCCGCTCACGCCACCTCTGCTAAAAAGCTCAGGAGCTAGCCAGGCCTGTGGTTTTTCCTGGGCAGTTGGCAACACTTACTTTTTCCCACGCCGCCTTCTTCTCCAAGAATCCCTCGTAATAATGGGGTGTCTGTCCGGCCCTCGCCTTCCTGCCCTGGCCGGCTGACACAGCCATCTCCCTCCCACCGCCAGCACCCCAGGCTTTCTGGCAGGTTCTCTCTCACAGTCCGGAACCAGGAAGCAAAGTGCCATAAATTAAACTACACTGTTTACTCTTTTCTGGTTTTTCTTTTACCTGAAATTCCCCGAGGCCCTCCCCTCTTCAGGCGTGATTGGGCCACTGAACCTTGGACAAGACAAAAGGCCTTCTTCCGGGCAGAGCAAAGCAGTCTCTTAACCTGCCAGTGCCCGTCGCTGCAAGGCTTCAGCTGAAACAGAGATTAACTCCCAAACCTATTTCCAGCACCAAGGTTCAGACCCCGTAGGTGAAAAGTCCCCAAAAAAGAAGAGAGGGACTCTGTGCCTGCGCAGAGTGCTTTTCTTTCATCAGTTAGCAACGACAGCACATTCACAGACACAGTGAAATTAGAAAGCTCTGCTTGGGGGGTCTTTTCAATCCTACTCTTCCTCCCAAGAGCTTTGGGGGCGTGCGCATGTATGGGCCTCCTTTGTGTGTTGTTACCCAGTGAGGCCAGTGATAGACCCAGGCGTCAGGACAGTGTGTGGAATTGAACCCAGGTCCTTCTAATCTTCATTCAGCACTCGGACCCCTACGCCATACTGACTTGACAGCTTTAGGCCCCAGTACCTCCCAGCCTGGAGAAAAACTTATTTTGAACTGGTTGGAACTGGCCAATCTGAGCCAGAATAAATTTATTATTTATTATTTCAACTTGTATCCCGCCTTGCCGGACAAGCTGGCTCAAGGCGACTTACAGATATTAAAATACAATAAAAGCATAAATACAATAAAATTCATATAAACTACATAAAATACTAACATAGAGAATACAGTAAATGGCGGCATTCATTAAACAATCCCTTAAATGAAAGGCAGTATCCAATAGTATATCATAGGGCCATGATGCATTCTGGTGGCTCATTTATCAGTGGCGGCTCCTAATTGAAAGCCTGGTGGAAAAGCTCCATTTTGCAGGCCCTGCGGAACTGTAAGAGGTCCCACAGGGCCCTGATGTTCTCTGGGAGCTACCAGTATGGAGCCGCCACTGAAAAGGCCCTGGCTCTAGTAATGGTCAACCTGGCATCTTTCGGGCCAAGGAGAGTCACGCGTTGTTGCTACCCTCAGTGCTCTCTGAGACACGTATGGGGAAAGGTGGTCCCTCAGGTAGGCAGGTCCCAGACCATATAGGGCTTTAAAGGTCAAAACCAGCACCTTGAAACGAATCCGGTAAGCTATTGGCAGCCAGTGCAATGCCTTCAGCACAGGCTGGATGTGGTCTCGTATTGAGACACCCATCAACAGCCTGGCCGCCGCATTTTGCACTAGCTGCAGCTTCCGAATTTGAGACAAGGGCAGCCCCATGTAGAAAGCGTTGCAGTAGTCTAATCTTGAGGTAACCATAGCATGAATCACTGTTGCCAGGTCAAAAAGTGGTTAGAACAGGCCTGGACTGCAGTGTGTTGGTATGAAACCTCTGAACCAGTCTGAATTGGTTTGAAGTGACCTAAACTGTTTAAACAGGGCTAAACTGGTTTGAACTGGTCTATAATGGTCACTCTCTCTCCCTCTAATCTATCTCACAAGGTGGCGGTTGTGTCCCTAAAATGGGGGAAGGGAGACCAGTGCACTCAACAGGAAGGGAAATTTTATTTATTCATCTATTTATTAGATTTTTTTTAGCCGCTGCTCACCCAAAGAGTCTCAGTGCGACTAACAGCATTAAAACCAATAAGATAAAACAACATAAAAACAAATAACAAATATTAAATATTAAGAAGAAGAAGAAGAGATGGGATTTATACCCCGCCCTTCACTACCCAAAGGTGTCTCAGAGCGGCTTACAAACTCCTTCCCCTTCTCCGCCCCACAACAGACACCCTGTGAGGTAGGCGGGGCTGAGAGAACTCTTGACAGAAACTGCTCTTTTTCAAGGACAGCTGTGCCAGAGTTATGGCTTGCCCAAGGTCATCCAGCCAGGTGCAAGTGGAGGAGTGGGGAATCAAACCCGGTTCTCCCAGATTAGAGTCCGTGCACTTAACCACTACACCAACATCTGGCTATCACCTTACCCCTATTAATACAGCCCAAACATGTGGTTACCCTCTAAAGGCCAACCTAAATAATTCAGCTTTGCCGGGCACGGGTGTAATGCTGCATTCCACAGGCCACAACTGAGAAGGTCCTTCCCTGGTGACAGCTGACCGAGCCATCCTGGGGCCAGGCACCTGCAAGGGGCCCCTAGACGATGGCCGAAGGGAGCGTGGGGGTTGGGATGGGAAAGGCGGTCCCGTAGGTATGAGGGTCCAAGACCGTTAAGGGCTTTAAATTTTAACACCAACACCTTGAATTGGATCCATCAGCTTACTGGTAGCCAGTGCAGCTGCTGCAGAATTAGAGTAATATGAGCTGATCATGATGTTCCGTCAGCAACCTGGCAGCTGCATTCTGGACCACCCGCAGGTCTCCAAAGCATTTTCAGGGGTAGCCCTACGTAGAGCGAATTTCAGTAGTCTAATCTGGAAGTGACCATTGTATGGGTTGTATGGATTGTCTACCAAATTGGTCCAGTCTACCAAATTGGTCCATTGTATGGCTCAATGTGGCAAGGTCTGAGCCAGACAAATAAGGAGCCAGCTGGCGGTCCTGGCCAGTGCTCCCTCTAAGCTGTGGAGTCTTGTGAGCAAAAATTCTACTTGGTGAGCTCCTGGCATTAAAGTTGTGAGTGAGCGATTTGGCTGCCGCATGAATTAGTTTGCTCTGGAGCCATCCTTCCTGAGCTAAGACAGAAATGTGTGAGCCGGAGGCTAAAAAACCGTGAGCTAGCTCACACTAGCTCAGCTTAGAGGGAACACTGGCATAGGTGAAAAAAACGCTTACTGTGCAGAATCCAACCACACCCCAAAGCTCTTGACAGAGACTGCGGCTGTCAGCTGGACACCATCGAGTCTCGGGAGTGACTCCTGCCAGCCAGCATCTCCAGCTTTCCCAGCCACATGACCTCCATCTTGGATGGATTCAACTTCAGCCAGCTCCCCTTAACCACTGGACTACCGCACCCAGCCACTGGGATAGGGCCAAGAGCCGGAGGAAGAACTGAGTGTCCTCAGCATATTGATGGCAGCATATTGACGGCACCCAGCTCCAGACCTCCTGACGATCCCGGCATTGGAGAGTCATTTAAGATTCATTTCAATTCAGTTCAGGAGCTGCAGTGGCTCTAGGAGCTGCGGTGGCTCAAGCGGTTAAGACGCTGAACTGCAGGCTGTGGAAGGTCGGTAGTTCAGCAGTTCGAGACCCGAGTGCACCGTATGACGGAGTGAGCTCCCGTCTCTGGCCCCAGCTCCTGCCAACCTAGCAGTTCGAAAGCAAGAAATTGCAAGTAGATAAATAGGTACCACTTCGGTGGGAAGGTAGCAGCGTTCCGTGCACCTTGGGGTTTAGTCATGCCGGCCACATGACCACAGAAATGTCTTCGGACAGCGCTGGCTCTCCGGCTTTGAAGCGGAGATGAGCACCGCAACCCTAGAGTCGGATTCGACTGGCTTTCGAGCAAGGGAACCTTTACCTTCTTTACTTCAATTCAATTCAGGTCTTGTCAGAGCTCCAATAGCAACCCTCTGAGAGAGTCCCTGGAGCATATATATGAAAATAAAGCCCATAAGCACCCTGGAGCTTGCTGGGGTGGAGGTGGGGTTGAAGTCTTCTGCTTCATTGCGTTGCCATATTTCTAGTCCTGCTCACACACACTTGCTTTCCTCAGAAAGAGCTCCCAAGCAGAAGCCCAGCAGCGGCGGAGGAAGCCGCTTGAGAGAAAACAGGAGCAAAATCCCAGTGGCAATGGGGACTTTGGTGGCCCCAGCCCCACTTATTAGAGTTGCCAGTCTCCAGGTGGGGGCCTGGAGTTCTCCAGACAGATTAACACGACCACCCATCTGGATCTACCTGAAGAAGTGAGCAGTGACTCAGGATCTTACCCTGCCATAAATGCTGGTAGACTTGAAGGTGCTCCTGGATTCTTGCTCTTTTTTATTGCTACAGACAGACTATCAGGGCTGTTCATCTTGATCTATCTGAAGGAGTGAGCAGTGGCTCAGGAAATCTCCTCCCCTGCCACAAATATCGTTAGTCTTGAAGGTGCTCCTGGACTCTTGCTCTTTTCTCCTGCTGCAGACAGACTAACATGGCCGCCCATCTTGATCTGTCTGAAGAAGTGAGCAGAGACTCACGAAAGCTCCTCCCCTAGGGTTGCCAAGTCTGGCAAACTCACCGGCGGGGGAGGCTCCAACGAGTCGTGCTCGCGCGCCGCCAGCACGTCACCAGAAGTGACGTGCGACGTTGCTGACGTTGGGGGCGTGGCCCAGCTCGTCGGGGGGGGAAACCATATGGTTTCCCCCCCCGACGAGCTGGGCCACGCCCCCAACGTCAGCAACGTCGCACGTCACTTCTGGTGACGTGCTGGCGGCGCGCGAGCACGACTCGTTGGAGCCTCCCCCGCCGGTGAGTTTGCCAGACTTGGCAACCCTAGGGGAGGAGCTTTCGTGAGTCTCTGCTCACTTCTTCAGACAGATCAAGATGGGCGGCCATGTTAGTCTGTCTGCAGCAGGAGAAAAGAGCAAGAGTCCAGGAGCACCTTCAAGACTAACGATATTTGTGGGGGGGAGAGACTGGTGCTTCCCTCTGTGGCTTCAAGCGTGGCCCCTACCCTTCAGCTGTACCCAGAAGCCCTGCCCACAGCCAGCGCACGGAAGTGTGGCAACCAGGGCCCAAATAGAGAGCTGAGCATCCAAGGCACCCAGCTCTGCAAAGGGTGTGGCTTTCACATCCAGTGCCCCACCTCCTTCTTCGCTCTGGCCTTTCATTCAGGGCGAACAAAGGTCTGTCGCGTCCACACAAAAGCTTATCCCCAGAATTAAACTTGGCTGGTCTTAAAGGAGCCACTGGACTCAGACTTTGTTCTAAGCCAAGCAAGTTGCACAGCTACCCATCTGAATCTATCTTCGTTTGGGGTGAAGTACCTGTTACGGCCACCATGGAAAAT